GACATAATTCCAAGATGCAGGTTGAGATTGTTGCACTTCAGCAACCTGGTTGGCTATGAAGGTCTTGAATGACGATGGTTCTCCTGCAAGCCAGTGTAGTATGATCGTGGAATCCGAAAAAAATGCTGGATTTGTATGCGGTTCAATATAATCAAAAATGATTTAATATGAATGAGAATTTATGTATCGCACAGCAGGTATTGCTTTAAGATCATTTATTTGAAGCTGTGTGGCACTATCGCTCTGAGTCAGAGATACCAGAGTTGAAGGCATGTCTTCATATTGAAGACATTTTAAATCCCGTTAAGACTTTTATTTTCCGCAGACATTTTGTAGACATTTCATGTGGCACACTTGGAGATTGAAGTAAATTTTTCTTCATATTCTTAGCAACTACTTTTTTTTTAAATATATTGCTTTTTCAATCTAGGGTAATCCAAACAGTTAGTTCTACATTTCCCGTTTATAGTGGCCTTTTTCAAGGGTTAAACAGTCTACTGTTTGTCGTTAAATTTGGTTTGTTGCCATTTAACGACAAATGGTAGAATGTTTAACCCTTTAAAAAGGCCACAATAAACGGCCGAAACGTCGGGAAATGCAAAAATAACTTTTTGGATTACTCTAGACTGAGACAGCCATATAAAAAAAAAACTCCATACGTTCATACGTACCAGTCTAAGCATTTAATAAATTATTAGCAACTTCTAAAATAATGGTTCTTATCAGCAAGGTTGCCACCAGGTATCAAAATAGAGGGGGTGACAAATAATTTCTAAGTCTCGGAATCTTGAATAAAAATTCTTCAAATCTGAAATTTTAAATGTGTTCACATTTCGATGCATCGGAAATTATTTTAAATTCCAGAACTCAAAAATTCCCTAGAGTTTCAAAAAATTGTTTGAGTTCAGTATCGTCTAAATTTAAAAAAAATGCATAAAATTGAACAAAATGCTACGAAGTCTTAGACATTTAAATTATTTGAAATTTGCTTTTAACATTGCAGTCCAGCATTTATAATATTTCAATAAATCATGCATCTTCGATTTATTCATATAAGATCTTAAATTTTGTGAAAAGACGTTTCAAAATCTAAATTTTTACCTAGTTAGATTTAACTTGGAACCTTTCGTAGGATATCTTTAGGATTTGTCCAAATATTTCTTTAAAATAGAAAAACCAATATTGGGACTCAGATACTCTGTTGTAGTAATCACATAATTTTCTTTAAAACACTCTAGAAATTATCTTAAGAAATCTCTTGTAATTGCATCATAATTACCTACAAATTCTTTTGATTATTTTGGAATTTTCCGCAGCATTTTCTTAGTTTTTCTACAAAAATTCGATGGAAATATTTTTGAAATATACTCAGAAATTTCGCAATATATACTTCAGAATTTTCATGGAATTCCGCTTTCTAAGTTTCCATGAAATTCACAAAGGAATTGCTTTGTAATACTCCATGGAATTTCTTTCAGGCTCTCTTCGAATTTTAATTTGATTTATCCTCAGAACTTCCATCCAATTCTCTTTATAGTTGCCCTGAAATTATAATCAGATCACCCTTGGAATTCTCAAAATTCTTTTAAAATGTCCCATAAAATTCTCTGGTAACTTTCTTCACAGGTCCTAGCCAATATTTCTTGGCACTCATTAAGTAGTCTTCTTTTCTCTTGCTTCGATTTTTCGTTGAGTTTCTGCTCTGAATTCAATTGGAATTCTTTCAAAACCCACTTGGACTTATTCTCACATTTGCGTAGTAATTATGTTTAAATAATCATTTGAATTTTCTTCTCGCTTTGAAATTTTGCATAGAATAAAATTGAAGCTCTTCTCATTCGAATTCTTCTCAGAAGAACATAAAAATTCCTCTCAAAACTCCCTTGGAAATCTCCTGATCATTTATCAGGAATCTAAAGAACCTCAGAATTACCTTGCAAGCATTCCATAGATTTTTCTCTAAGTTCTCCTCAAAACTGAAATGGAATTCCAGTTAGACCTCTTTTACTATACTCCTTAGAATTCCTTTTAAAGTTGCCTCAAAGTCCTTCAGAAATTCTTAAGTTTATAAGGTATACCGGGGCAAGTTGAAACGGTAAGTGTATCTTTTAGCGCAAGTGAATATTCACTGCAGTTATTTTTAGGAGGCATTGTGTATTACTTGGTTAGAAATAAAATCAGTGATTATTCACTGCCCCGGTGTACCTTACCATGAAATTCCAGGAACATGAATATTTTCTTCAAGTCCATAAGCCTTGAAAATTTTGTACGATCCATTTTATTAATATTTGCTATCAAATCTGGGATCTTAGAAAACATGACAAGATCCGAAGTCTAAGTCTTCGTTCAAGAATCTTGGAAATTTCTTCAAGCTTTGATTTTTTTTTTTCAAAGACCAGGATACGAAAATTTTTGACAGCCTATAGCATTTTATTTTTTTTTCAGAATCTGAGGAATCTTACTTATGAATTTGAAATTTATATTAAATCTCACAATCTTAGAGATTCTTCAACCAATCAAATTAAAAAAAAAATGTTTCGGGTCTAATTTAATTCAATTTTTAAATGTCCAAAACAATTTATAATTCTTATTTATCTTAGTAGCGTTCACACACTTTTTTCTGTAAAAATTTAAAATATCAGATACTTTGAAAAGCTTTGCTGCCGTGAGATGACAATGTGACGGAAATCCAACTGTTCTGAAAACAGTTATTTTTGTTCATTCTTGCGATTATTGTGAAAATTTTACAATTTTTTACCAGATCTGTTTAATGTGATAAAACTAAAACTATAAACCTTGATGTTTAAAATAGCTTTTAATTTTTCAGCACTTTCACTGTTTTTCCGAAAATTTATGGTAACGTCACTTTGTCTGCATGCTTCAAAAGCAGATTTTGTGCAAATGTTGAGTGTATTGAGTGTCGTTATGGATGCAGAACTCAAATATGGTGAAAGTTGAATATTGACCATGGTGGCGTTTACGTCATTTTGACATCTCACGACAGTTTGGAGATCGCGCACATAAAAAAGTAAATTCTAGTAGGTTCCTAAAATTAGAAAATGTTTCAATAATCGTGTATTTCTAAAATAAAAAAAAAATCTGAGATTTTTTTAGATAGTGTAAATGCCGAATTTGGCAATACCTTATTCTATTATCGTCCGGTGGTAAACAACGTCCTTGAGAGCATTCTACCTGTTCCTCTCTTTTAGGTTTCTTAAAATACAAATGCAGTCGTCATTCACTGGGTGGCAAGTACCTCATCCCATTTATCGAGTGTCATTCAATAACCGGTAACAGGGTCTGACGATGACATATGACAATCATCTTCAGACTGCTCCGATGGATTTCTAACTATTTCAAAATGATAAATGTACTGCTGTGAGATTAAAAAGTGTAAAAACAACATTTTTAAATTAAAAAAAATCACTTTAAATTTAAAAACAAATTGGTATATCGTACGTATTTCAAAGGTGTATACTTGAATTGAAGTCAGTGTCATTTGCTTCAGTAAATGAACGTTTTTATACATTGATTACTTTAAAACTGTGATTTGAGCTCCATAACTTTTTTTTACAAGATATTTGCTGAGGTTATTGATGTCATAGATGAAAACATCAAATGTTATGACCATAACTACATTCTGACATATTTGAAGAATGTGGACAAGGTTACCAGGACGCAGATCACATTATTTGGTCATGTGCTGAGCACCGTGGAGTCAGATCCGAGTTGTACGATTCCCTTCGGGCTCGAGGTAGACAACCTAATGTTCCAGTTCGGGATATTTTGGCTAGACGCGATCTGGAGTTTATGCAACTCATATATGTTTTCTTGAAGAATATTAACCATAGATTGTAAGTTTGATTAACCTTGTGTTTAGTTTGTGTTTTGTATGTGTGTGTGTATTTTTTTTTTTTTGTAGATTTGTTTCTGTAATAATTGTATAATTACAGAGTTGATATAACGTCGATAGGATTAAGTATATGTTTTAGAAATAGTGAAATTTTAGAATCATATTCCAAATCTCCTTTTCCCTCTCCCGATCCAAACAATTGTCATCCAATAACCTCGAGAAGACCGCGAGTAATCGGTTCCAATCCTTTAATTTTAGATTTAAGACATTCATAATGTATAAAGAAAATGATAACTTGGCTCTGTAAAGTTTATTCGATTGAGCCTGTACAAATAAAGTAATTAACAAAAAAAAAAAAAAAATTTGAAGAAAACATGCACAGGTCAAACATCTGGATTCTCGGAAATTAACTTAAAGTAGGCTCAAGAAACGAAAAATCTACGTGTTTTGAAAAATCAGATTTTCACCGTATTTTCAAATCTTTCTCTCCGTAGAGGTATTCCATTATGGACGCAAACGTTAACACATATCGTGTCTATTCTTATCACCTGTTATTTAAAATAACTCACCACTCTAATTGAAAATCCTCACCAGATTAAATTCACTACAAATTTTCAGAAAACGATACAGCCAAACATTTACTTGTTCACCACGACAATCAATCTCCTTGACTGAACCTTACCTAACGTTGGATGCAGGCAGGTTTCGATTCGATTGCACCCGCGCATTATCTCTCTTGATACCTGCAGTTACATCTTCGGTCTTGGAAAATCTCATCAAACGACACGCGGAGGTTGCTTTACTGCATCACTGCACCTAGCAGACACCAGAGCCGTGAAAACGAGACGACGACGACGAAAAAAAAATTTGGTTTTCAATGAGGGAGAAAATTTGACGAGGCAACTGTCTTCGTCGTACTTCTTTCGGAAAATTGCCAACGAATCCTTCAACGCATGGGTACCCTTTCTGATACCCGGGTAGAGGTCGAATTTTGTCGGTGTTATCACTGATACGGTGGGTTCACTATAAAAGGTGGCTTCAGAGGGTGTCATCAATTATAGCTTGTTTGATCTTTCGGCAGTGCAGTGTGGTCTAGTGTTTGGTAGCAGGGTTGTGGTGGAACAATTTTAGGGTTTTTTTTTGGAAAATGAAGGTAGTTTTCTGTGGATTGCAGAAGGTAGATGAAATTCTAATGATTTGAATTTGTTTATAAGGCATTCGTGGCGGTTCTTGCTCTAGTAGCAGCTGTGGCAGGTGACGTGTCAATCCAGCAGCCCAATTCGCATCTTCAACCTCCGGTTGAACATCATACCTCGAATAACTTTAACGCTCCGTGGGTGAAGGAAAACGCATGGAGACCAGCTGCAGATCCTAATCAACCGATTCATGTCCCTCAGCAAAGTTCCTATTATACAGAAGTGCAGCATGGCAACAATAATCAGGCATATCAGCAAGAACAGCAGCAGTATCAGCCTCATCAACAGATCGACGTCGCTCAGCAAACTTCCTACGCTACAGTTCAGCATGGCACCAATAGCCAGAACTGTCAGCAAGATCAGCAGCAGTATCAGCCTGATCAACAGATCGACGTCGCCCAGCAAAGTTCCTATTACGCTCCAGAACAGCATGGCAGCAATAATCAGGGCTATCAGCAACAGCATCATCACCATCAAGAACAGCATCAGCAGCAAGGTCATTATCAAAACCACAACGCTCCATCATCCGTTGCCGTTCAGGTAACTCATCCCGATTGGGCAACGTCGTTCTCCAACGTCAACCGGTACAACACGTACTGGCCAGCCGCTCCTGTTGCTCCAGTTATGATCGCTCCAGTCCCATTTATGCCCGCCGCTAATGTCTTCACTGCTCCAGCACCGTTCTCCAAACCCACCCAAGCACCCGTGGCCGTCTACAACAACAATGTAGCCAAATGGAACCCATGGAACAACAACCAACACTCGCACCGCCACCACCACCAGCCCTCGCACGATATCGCCAAAGTGCCACATTCGGTCGCCAAGTACGTTGCCATCACACCCGGATCGATCCACATTGCCCCACTGCCGGGACATACGGTTTCGCACAAGTTCGTGAACCCCGGTGGAAGCTGGTAATGACACCGAAACGAGAACCACTTTGGAGTGATTGTGACATGCATACGTAAATCGACGAATTGTTGACTAGTTGTAATAAATCGAAAATGTGTTGAAAAGTGCTTAAATCTGTTTTCTTTTGCCCACTGACTCCGCTACTGATGTTGCTCAATTACACAAATGCCAATTAAGGGCTTTAATTGTGTTCGAATCCAATGCATATGCAAATTCAAGCTTTACAAATGTTGTAAACCGATTCCGAATGCAATGTGCTCATACGAGATCGAGTGGATTTGAAATCCTTAGTGTAGTAGGCGATTGCTCTAATTTATAGGATCCTATAGCTGTCAGTTGGTTGCGTCTGTTGAGGGGAAATATTGCAGAGTGAAAGATTGATATCAGTGCTGCTGGGTTGTGCGGGTTGTTTGCTTTCGAGAAGTGTTTTGCTGAGAGATTCAGTTGTAGGGGACAGATTTCGACACGTGTTGTATATTGGGTTGGTACAAAATGAAGGTAGGTTGATTGGTGCAGATTTCCTTTGTTGGCGGATCGTTGATCAGGTCCAAATACTCTATTTCCAGGATTTTTTACCCCAAAAAGAGACTTTGGAATGGTGGGAGAGACCCAGCGTCATATACGCGTAAGTTCATTTGATTTTACATTGTTTACCATCTGTTTTTGGGGAATGAAAGTTTTTAGAATCCATGGTATAGTAGTTGATGGAAGGAAGGGGTGCTCCATTTTCAGAATCTTACGATCGAAGGTGAAACGTTGTCAAAAACGTTGTATGACACGGGAAACAGTAGATTGAACGATTCCCAACATCATTACCATGGGAAAGGTTCGGGTTTTTGAGCTACGTGTCTAGTCTAGTCTGCATGCACAGCCACTACTTGTGCCAGAAATAATCCTGGAAAATGATAGAAATAAAAGAGGGTCTAGTATAAATAAGGAGCAGATTGAAAACAAACTTCCTTGGCAACCTGTGCCTTAGTGGTTTCTAGCAGCACTGCCAATGCATTCAAGATAGGTGCTGCTGGATTAGCTCTGGTTTTGACAGTTTGTTTGGCTCAAAATCAGCCAGTCCGCTCCTCGTCTGTCTGTCTGTCTGTCTGTCTGTCTGTCTGTCTGTCTGTCTGTCTGTCTGTCTGTCTGTCTGTCTGTCTGTCTGTCTGTCTGTCTGTCTGTCTGTCTGTCTGTCTGTCTGTCTGTCTGTCTGTCTGTCTGTCTGTCTGTCTGTCTGTCTGTCTGTCTGTCTGTCTGTCTGTCTGTCTGTCTGTCTGTCTGTCTGTCTGTCTGTCTGTCTGTCTGTCTGTCTGTCTGTCTGTCTGACAGACAGTCTGTCTGTCTGTCTGTCTGTCTGTCTGTCTGTCTGTCTGTCTGTCTGTCTGTCTGTCTGTCTGTCTGTCTGTCTGTCTGTCTGTCTGTCTGTCTGTCTGTCTGTCTGTCTGTCTGTCTGTCTGTCTGTCTGTCTGTCTGTCTGTCTGTCTGTCTGTCTGTCTGTCTGTCTGTCTGTCTGTCTGTCTGTCTGTCTGTCTGTCTGTCTGTCTGTCTGTCTGTCTGTCTGTCTGTCTGTCTGTCTGTCTGTCTGTCTGTCTGTCTGTCTGTCTGTCTGTCTGTCTGTCTGTCTGTCTGTCTGTCTGTCTGTCTGTCTGTCTGTCTGTCTGTCTGTCTGTCTGTCTGTCTGTCTGTCTGTCTGTCTGTCTGTCTGTCTGTCTGTCTGTCTGTCTGTCTGTCTGTCTGTCTGTCTGTCTGTCTGTCTGTCTGTCTGTCTGTCTGTCTGTCTGTCTGTCTGTCTGTCTGTCTGTCTGTCTGTCTGTCTGTCTGTCTGTCTGTCTGTCTGTCTGACAGACAGTCTGTCTGTCTGTCTGTCTGTCTGTCTGTCTGTCTGTCTGTCTGTCTGTCTGTCTGTCTGTCTGTCTGTCTGTCTGTCTGTCTGTCTGTCTGTCTGTCTGTCTGTCTGTCTGTCTGTCTGTCTGTCTGTCTGTCTGTCTGTCTGTCTGTCTGTCTGTCTGTCTGTCTGTCTGTCTGTCTGTCTGTCTGTCTGTCTGTCTGTCTGTCTGTCTGTCTGTCTGTCTGTCTGTCTGTCTGTCTGTCTGTCTGTCTGTCTGTCTGTCTGTCTGTCTGTCTGTCTGTCTGTCTGTCTGTCTGTCTGTCTGTCTGTCTGTCTGTCTGTCTGTCTGTCTGTCTGTCTGTCTGTCTGTCTGTCTGTCTGTCTGTCTGTCTGTCTGTCTGTCTGTCTGTCTGTCTGTCTGTCTGTCTGTCTGTCTGTCTGTCTGTCTGTCTGTCTGTCTGTCTGTCTGTCTGTCTGTCTGTCTGTCTGTCTGTCTGTCTGTCTGTCTGTCTGTCTGTCTGTCTGTCTGTCTGTCTGTCTGTCTGTCTGTCTGTCTGTCTGTCTGTCTGTCTGACAGACAGTCTGTCTGTCTGTCTGTCTGTCTGTCTGTCTGTCTGTCTGTCTGTCTGTCTGTCTGTCTGTCTGTCTGTCTGTCTGTCTGTCTGTCTGTCTGTCTGTCTGTCTGTCTGTCTGTCTGTCTGTCTGTCTGTCTGTCTGTCTGTCTGTCTGTCTGTCTGTCTGTCTGTCTGTCTGTCTGTCTGTCTGTCTGTCTGTCTGTCTGTCTGTCTGTCTGTCTGTCTGTCTGTCTGTCTGTCTGTCTGTCTGTCTGTCTGTCTGTCTGTCTGTCTGTCTGTCTGTCTGTCTGTCTGTCTGTCTGTCTGTCTGTCTGTCTGTCTGTCTGTCTGTCTGTCTGTCTGTCTGTCTGTCTGTCTGTCTGTCTGTCTGTCTGTCTGTCTGTCTGTCTGTCTGTCTGTCTGTCTGTCTGTCTGTCTGTCTGTCTGTCTGTCTGTCTGTCTGTCTGTCTGTCTGTCTGTCTGTCTGTCTGTCTGTCTGTCTGTCTGTCTGTCTGTCTGTCTGTCTGTCTGTCTGTCTGTCTGTCTGTCTGTCTGTCTGTCTGTCTGTCTGTCTGTCTGTCTGTCTGTCTGTCTGTCTGTCTGTCTGTCTGTCTGTCTGTCTGTCTGTCTGTCTGTCTGTCTGTCTGTCTGTCTGTCTGTCTGTCTGTCTGTCTGTCTGTCTGTCTGTCTGTCTGTCTGTCTGTCTGTCTGTCTGTCTGTCTGTCTGTCTGTCTGTCTGTCTGTCTGTCTGTCTGTCTGTCTGTCTGTCTGTCTGTCTGTCTGTCTGTCTGTCTGTCTGTCTGTCTGTCTGTCTGTCTGTCTGTCTGTCTGTCTGTCTGTCTGTCTGTCTGACAGACAGTCTGTCTGTCTGTCTGTCTGTCTGTCTGTCTGTCTGTCTGTCTGTCTGTCTGTCTGTCTGTCTGTCTGTCTGTCTGTCTGTCTGTCTGTCTGTCTGTCTGTCTGTCTGTCTGTCTGTCTGTCTGTCTGTCTGTCTGTCTGTCTGTCTGTCTGTCTGTCTGTCTGTCTGTCTGTCTGTCTGTCTGTCTGTCTGTCTGTCTGTCTGTCTGTCTGTCTGTCTGTCTGTCTGTCTGTCTGTCTGTCTGTCTGTCTGTCTGTCTGTCTGTCTGTCTGTCTGTCTGTCTGTCTGTCTGTCTGTCTGTCTGTCTGTCTGTCTGTCTGTCTGTCTGTCTGTCTGTCTGTCTGTCTGTCTGTCTGTCTGTCTGTCTGTCTGTCTGTCTGTCTGTCTGTCTGTCTGTCTGTCTGTCTGTCTGTCTGTCTGTCTGTCTGTCTGTCTGTCTGTCTGTCTGTCTGTCTGTCTGTCTGTCTGTCTGTCTGTCTGTCTGTCTGTCTGTCTGTCTGTCTGTCTGTCTGTCTGTCTGTCTGTCTGTCTGTCTGTCTGTCTGTCTGTCTGTCTGTCTGTCTGTCTGTCTGTCTGTCTGTCTGTCTGTCTGTCTGTCTGTCTGTCTGTCTGTCTGTCTGTCTGTCTGTCTGTCTGTCTGTCTGTCTGTCTGTCTGTCTGTCTGTCTGTCTGTCTGTCTGTCTGTCTGTCTGTCTGTCTGTCTGTCTGTCTGTCTGTCTGTCTGTCTGTCTGTCTGTCTGTCTGTCTGTCTGTCTGTCTGTCTGTCTGTCTGTCTGTCTGTCTGTCTGTCTGTCTGTCTGTCTGTCTGTCTGTCTGTCTGTCCGTCCGTCCGTCCGTCCGTCCGTCCGTCCGTCCGTCCGTCTGTCCGCATACTGTCTTTACAGAATTTCAAATGTCTTCAAAATAAAAACATCTTCAAAATAAAAACATCTTCAAAGCTGCCAGTGAAACTTATGAAGAGTAAACAATACGCACTGAACTAGTTTCACCCAAATTTGCAATGGTATTAACATTCAGAGCCATTTACACTACCTATACTGCCGGTAGCCGCAAGTCAGTCCCAGCAGTATTTTTGCATCTATTTTGAGTTTGTATCATTATTCAATTTTTGTTTTATGTTTTTGGAGCTGTGCTTTAGAAAAAAGGTTGCTCAAGAAAAAAAAACAATACCAATTCAAATTGTACCAAAGCGAAAAGTAACTGCTAGTGAATCCAATTAGGGTAAAAAATATGATTTCATTAAACAAACCGTTTTATATGGTCACAGCTATACTTTTAGGCTTGCTATAGAGTTAAGATTGTTAGACAATATATCGCTTCATGAGATTTGACTCATAACAGATTCTGTCGACTTCCCTTAGGGTATCCGGAACATGTCCCGATGATGTGACCAATATAGTTCTTACCCAAGTAACAATTTTGGTTTTATTAGGGTTCTGTAGACCATGATTTGGACTTGTAGAATGGTATAAAACCTTTATAAAGCTTTTAATGTTATTTGGGTACGGCCCTCAATATGACCGCCAATTGTTATGGCTTTCAATTATCATGTGATTTGAGGTGTCGCATTATGGATTTTGATTTAAAAAGTTTGACTTTTTTCCTGAAATTCTCAGATATTTCTTAAAGTTCACAGTAGGGTAGAGCGCTACTTCGTCGTAATCGCCCATTTCCGTTCTATCGGCCAGAAAAGATCAATAATATCAATGATTTCACCGTGCACAAATCAAAAATAGGTTTGTTCCGATGCGTTAGTTCATTAGCTACAACATAAATCCTGTTAGAGCGCATTGTATGAATATTTACGCTCATTGTTCTCAAAACAAAAAAAGCGCCCCTAGCGAATCCCCTTTTTCTACGTTTATCCGTAGGACG